TGGGATTCAACCAAACAAACTATTGATGCTTCGAAGAAATGATGGGTGGACAGAGAAATAGGATGTACAACTTCCTTGCATATTGCAAAAAATGTTGGCCGCCAAGAAGTTCAAATTCTGTGGAATTGACCCTGATTTAGAATAGAAATTGGACCATATGTTCGGTGGGGTTGTGACAACAAGCACTCATGGTTTCACCTCAAGTGAGCATGAGTTTGTTAGCATACCAGAGAAGTTGGAGATCAAACGAGTAACTGGCTCCGGTGAATGCCCAAGTGAGCAAGGGTTTGCTAGCATACCAAAGATGTTCGGGGCCCGTCAGTTGCTCCCACACGTCTCAGAAAGATTCTCTCAACAATCGACTCCTCCATCCTCACTTGAGAGACGACCGCCCTCACCTGCTCCTTGGCCTGCTATCACTGGCACCCTAATCAGATTCTTACCCATGCCAATCAGAACTGGATCATCATCCAAGACTATTAAAGTCGGGTTGTCCATGCCAAAAAACATTGTAAAATAAAAAAATTAAATTAAAAAGATTAAATCCTACAAATAAGGCTGAAATCCCTCTTACACGGAAGCCAATTCCACTTAGATATTGTGAATGACATAGCAACATCAACGGGGCATGCCCTTAAAGGAGGTGGGAGGCCACCAGAATTTAAGAGACCGGAACAACCAAAGAATCTTGCGCCGGAACAAATGGTTGAGCAACCGAATGATGGGCGGGTTAGTCGGTTGAATGCTCTTCCACTTAGTACCGAAGAGCAAATCAGACGACCCCTTTGATTTGAAATTGTGAGTGAAACTGCTTTTCCCTTCCTCATGATGACCTTCTTCCTTTCGCTTTTCGAGCGATATTTGAGCGACCAGGCCAATAGGAGGAACTTGCACGCAGCAAATGGCTAGACGACCAGATCAAAGGTTGGGTTGGCCGACTGAGCACTCTTTCTACTTAGTATCCAAAGATTGAATAATTCCACCCTACATAATTTGGAATTGTCAGTGCAACCACTTTCTTCTTCATGAGAAACTTCTTCCTTTTGCCTTTCGAGTAGTACGATCCCTTTAGCTTTCCAAAGGCAAAATAGATAGATCTTTGTTCAGAATATCACTCAAAGGTTTCAATACATTTTCCAACACAACACATGAAAGTTGGTTGAATCAAAAGAAGGAAAGATGCGGAACAGTTAGGGTTCAGAATATCACTCAAAGGTTTCAATACATTTTCCAACACAACACATGAAAGTTGGTTGAATCAAAAGAAAGATGCGGAACAGTTAGACAAGGGAAAGGGCCCCATCACGCTCCATTTATAAGAACCAAAAGCATGAAAATTAAGGGAGTTCAGTTATTAAATCATTAGTAGAAATTGAATGTAATCTAATTTTTGCATTAAATTCTCTTATTCTTATCGCAGTTTCATTTTCAAAAAGTAAGAAAATCGGTAAACTAAAATATATACATAAAAAATATGTCAGCACTGTTCTTGAATGAATTCAACGGTCCAGAACGGAAGGGTATGACGAATGTTGGCCCACTATTAAAGGGTCGTAAGGCCCACTTGACCTACCGAGCAATGCCATACAAACCAAGCCAGTAAAGCTAAAACTGAATAAGCCATGAAGTGCACAAGAAGACGAAGGAATAATGTGAATCCAAATCATTCGATTGGAAATGAGAAAAGTGCAACTGAGCCAACCCACTACGGGAAAGCCGATTTAATGTGATAGCCTACCCTCCAGAAGAATAAATCTAATGGAATATTCAATTTCCTAGTATCTTCAACTATCCTAGAGATGCCCAAAAATCCCTCACCAGTTATCAAGGAACAAGACCCACGCTAAATCAACCAATTGTCCTACATTGACCAAGCTCAACTGACTGAGTTATTCCCATTGACCCATGACAATCAAGAGAATTTTGTTGACTCAAAGCCAAATAAGCTTAGTCAGTCGAGCCACAAAGTAGTCAAACAAGTCCATACATGTAAAATTCTAGAAATACCCTTATAAAGCAGTGCAAAACTATAATATCATCATTTTACCCTCTCCTATAAAAATAGGAGAATTATTTTATAAATAAACACGCGCAGATTACAGTTCATTACTTTTTACTCCCTCTCTCTCTTTACTCTATTCCTTGGGTGTGTGACTCATAGATAGGGTTGTCAAAATGGCTCGTTGTTCACGGACAACTTGTGTTCAGCTCGTTAAGAAACACCTTTTCGGCCCGTTTGCTAAGTTAAAGAGCCTAACAAGAATAAAGATTTGTTCAGTCATGTTCGACTTGTTTTGGCTTGAAATACTACTCATCAATTTTATATATATTGATGAGTAGTATTTTAAAAAAATTTAATTGACTACAAGGCTACAAAGATTTATAATCAATTAAAAGTATTAATTAAGAAAATAAAATTAAAATTATTAAATTATATTCAAATGATTTTTTAGTATAAACAATAATTTTTAAATATTGCCTCAATCCTTAACATCTTATGACTACGTGATTAGAGTTGTCAAAACGACTCTTTGTTCGTGAACGACTCACTAAACAAATGAACCGAACATGAACACACATTTTGAGCTCGAAATACAAACGAGTCGAGCAAGAGCTGAGCCTGGGCTCGCTCGTGTTCGGCTTGTTTACCCCTACTCACAGATAAACCAGGATTCAACACCATCGAAGCGCGGCAGCCTCCGTATAAAGGCGAGCGTGACCCAAATCTGGGCATCAAATATAGGACTTTATGATTTAGTAGCAATAATTTCTTGAGCCAAAAAAGAATGTCATCGATGTAATGTTTTGTAAATAATGAACTCGATAATGATGAATTTAATTAATACATAGGTTTCTAAATGAATTGGATATAGGGGCTTTTTTTTTTGTTTCATGTTTGTGCTTTCATTGAAGATAACACATATCAAGCATTGATGTGGAACGGGGTAAAGGAGCACACCTTTTTTCCTATAATTTATGCTTAGATGAACTTCCTAAATAATGTAAACCAACCATCAAAGATTATACACGGCCATTGGTAAGAGTCATCAAACCAAAGCTTCAAGATTAGATGGACTAATGTGAACATTCCTTCATTAATTAATTTTGAGATTAATCATTCCATTCAATGCTTTGTGTTTTGCCAAACTTATTAAAAGAAGACATCTTGCAATTCTCACCTTATGCTTTTGGAGTTGTTGAAAGGCATGGAGTATGTGATTTGTCTTACAAGCTGCAAAAACAAAGACAATATAATGGGAGTCAATTGATGTGGGATTTTGTACAAGCCTTGACAATCGACCTCTCACATGAGAACATTCCACATTGTTCATCATTCCCTTCAAATGAATGCTAATAAAGTATCATGTGCCTATAGCCCAATCAACAAGTACAGGCTCGTGAGAATCACCTACACTTAAACTTTGGGCAACCATGGAAGAACCAACCAAATGTCCACGGGAGCCACAGATTACACGAGCCACTAGACCTTAATTGAACGATCTACTCTAAAAGCACATGGAGATAAAAAAAAAGGAGGATTGAAGTTGAGCAGCTCAACTTGAGCTCATAATGCCACTAATGAAACCCATTTTTAACTCGAAACTTAAGTTCGCACTTGCAGTTAATCACTTAAATTTTCTAAACAAACATTTTTTTTATTATTATTTTATGTGACATTAAATTGAAAAACTCACGCACCTTCACAAATTTAAGCATTGCAAACACTCACTTATATAAGCCATCTATGACAAATGATCTGATGTTTAAGAAAGAAAATGGTCTACTCGTTCATTCCATTTAATGGCATTCAAATTAATATTTACAAAAGCCCATATGACAATCAATCTAACGCTCTTGTATATATTTTTTATACGTTTTCTCAAGTTTACTATGTTTTGCCAGCGATGCATCACACATGAACACTTTTTCTCCATGCAAGTAGACTATTAAAAAGATTAGCACTTATGAATTCTGGAACACAAATATATTGGCTATAGACCTAACTTCTGTAGTATATCACTTGTAACCCCATCATGGTCCTTTACATAATTGGGACATTGGCAAATTCATAAGATACAGTCCCATCACCATATCCCATTTGTTTAGTCTTACTCAGGAGGCTGAATTTGAAATGATAAACAGATCATTTTCGTCAGCAGCCATTCACCTGGTTGAATACAAAGAGAACAAATTTTTTCTCCTTTAGATACCTCACAAATTTCAGCTATTGTGTAGGTTACCACGCAAGTGGCAAATGCTACACCGCGAAAAAACCCCCAACAAAAGAACGAAAAAATATTACATCAGGCTCCGCATGCAGAGCTGCTTGCGGAGTCCAATCTCGCGCCCAATCTCGCGCTGACACGTAGAAGGGCGGGGTTACCTACATAAAAAATGAAAAAAAAATGAAAACGCATTATAAGAATATTCCCTCACGTTATTTTGAATATTTTCAGCGTTATTCATATGTTATTGGTGTGTTATTGATGTGATTTTGAGAATAACACAATAAAACACATAAATAACGCGGGAAAATATTCCTAAACCCTTAATAACACATCAATAACACATGAATAATATATCAATAACACATTAAATAACACATAAATAATGCGAAAAATATTCAAAATAATGCGATGAAAAATGCCTATAACACGGATTGAATAACACAATAAATAACACATGAATAACACGAGGAAATACTCTTAAACCCTCAATAAAACACCAATAACACATGCATAACGCTGAAAATATTCAGAATAACGCGAGGGAATATTTTTATGCAATGAAATATTCCTATAACGCATCGGTCAGGTCGGGTCGCACGTTTTCGACCTTCCATATGTCAGTGCAAGGTTGGACTCCTCAAGCAGCTCCTGATGTAAATTTTTACAATGAGGAAATATACCACAGTTCTCAGATGCTAAATTCGTTGGCCTGATCATGATTGAAGTTAAAAGGGAAAGGAAGAGCGCGAGTTAGAAGGCAAGAAGCCATACTTGGGCCATTGCTTAACGCCGAGCTCCAAGAGTTTAGATTCCGGCGGATTTCTTTCAACTATAATCCCAAGCTTCTCCATGGCCGGGATCTCCCCTCTGATCAACCTCAAGGACAGAGCCGCCGGAAACCTTCTCCTATGGTTCGAAGAGAGAGAAGAAACCGCTCTGACGACAACAGAGGCAGGGCTACGCGAGTGGCCACTTATGATGCAAGGGTTTGCCATTGGAGTCAGAGTGAACCTTCCAGAAGAATATTCGTTAAAATTTTTAATTGTTAATTTGATGAAGAGACTTCCGGTGCAGCATAAAAGAGATGAGGATGACCAAATTGTCGGATTATTTTGAGCGAGTATCCTGGTCCATTCATTCTCTATCTTCGGTATATTTCACATGGACACCTATATAGAAATTCATACGGCATCCGAATTCACCGTTCATCACAATAAATATGTATTTCGGTGGACCTCAATTTTAAATTTTATTTAAAAAAAAATTGATGGATAGTGGAGATCGAACACCATATGCATGCATTTATGCATACGGTACGACATGAAATAATTTTTCTCGTCTCGATGCATTGAGGCACACAACTTCGCACAACTTTTAAGTAGAGCAAAATGGGGCTTTAAATTTTTATTATCAAATATTTTAAGGTGTCATGAAATACTTAAAGTGTCATGAAATACATAGGATATTAATTGGAATTAAAGTGAAATTTTTTTTAAAAATAATTTTAAATGTTCATTTTATCCGAACAAATATTTTGGTACTATTATAATACAAATAAAAATATTATTTTGTTCTTATTATTTTATTAACTTCTATTTTTATTGATTAGATTTTTATTTAAAATAACATTAGAACCTTACTAATAATAAAGATTACAAGAGCCAAAAAAACATAGAAAATATAGCAAAATAGTATTAGACGTTAAGTCTAGTGAGAAGCTTTGATATATACTATATTGCTAAAAAATAATAGTAGCAAATGATTAAATGTTTTTTCAGTTCATATTCTCGTCATCTACTTGTAGCTTAATTCGAGACAAATTATATTACATTGATTGCTATATTTTTTCCATAAATTAGACTACCTAGTTTGTAAATATGTAATTACATAGAATACAAGTTGAATCATGTACATAGGGTGAATATGTGTGAAGTCATTAGCAAGTCAAGTGAATGGTGGTAATTGTTGTTGATTCCTTTTAGTTTGTCTCCAAGGAAAGTACACTTGCTTTGATAGTTTTGATAACTTTATCTTAGTGACTCCAATGTATTGACGTTAGAGAAGTGACTAAACTTGGACTCAACCCACATCAATCAGAGAAATGGATACATATCAACATTCTTATTATTATTATTCTTCAATTTGTAGTTAGAAAAGCCAGATCAGAAACTCTAGCCCAAATAGAAACACCTCATGGCAAAATACATTCCAACCTTGGTAAATCTAAGCATGCAACTAGCTAATCAATTCTTTTTATTTTAATGATCACAATAAAATAAATAAATAATATTCTCGATGATCTGCCACATTTGCCGACAAATATTCTCGATGATCTACCACATTTTGCCGACACCACGTAGTGGGATTAAAACTTTGTTGTTGTTGTTGGTGGTGGTGTTGTTATACATTTTAACACTGAGTAATATGCAAATGCTTTATTACATAAGTTATATTTGGTGTAATGTCATTCACATCCCCTAGGCATGGATAACACCAAGAAATCCTTTAGTAAGGAATTTCTTGTGATGATGTTAAAGATTTAAAAGTAATAAGAGAGATGCAAACCTACAGATGTATTCTTCTTATTATCAATTAAATAAAACAACATAAAAGAAAATTAAGGAAGATGATGAGGGTGAGAAGGCTAAAGTTGCTAAGTTAATTAAAATAAATGATTTTTTTTTTTGCGCTACTCTTCCAAAATGTTTCTAGTCATCACTCTGTCTCGAGTTCATCCTAGATGAAAATGATAGAATCTTGTTGGTGATGGTGTTGTTGAACATTGTCTATTGCTGACTTTTAAAGCTGAGCAAGTTTTAAAATAGTAGAAGTTAGCTCAAAGAATGATTTTGCCACTACTGATGATGTAATAATTTGAAGGAACCATTTAAGTGTCAATTTGGAGGATTTTATGACGGTAAAGAAAATGATTTTTGTCTTCTAGTTTGTTTGGGCTTTTGAAAAATCAAACAAAAAAACATGTAGTACTTATAAAATTGCTAGGATTTGCTTTTACAAAAAGTTTAAAGAAGTGATTTGATATTCATGAACATTTTTTTATTGTTCATTGATCAAGCTCCATCAATTTGAAGTTTGACAACCTCTAAGTATCCTCCCATTTAGGGAGCTACCTTAGGAGTGTTGGGCTCCCCCACCCTTCTAAAATGGCACGCATGGATAACTTTTGCAACATTGAAGACATTTTCTAACCCGCCTGTCTAACATGGATCTTCTATACCTATGTAAAAGAAATAGCAAAATACTCAATGTCGTGGAAGCAACTAGAACAAATACTTAATAGTAAGTTTTCAGGTCGAGTTGGAATTTCTTGAACGGGTACAGATGTTTTCACCCCATTGGAACAATGAGAATGAGTACATAATGTGTTCAAGAATGTATATATCTATAAAAAAAATATAAAATCAAAAATAAAAAAAAGATATATATATATATATATATATATATTCTCTTTTTGCCTCTTTTTTGTGTTTTTTCCTTTTCCCTCGTTTTTATTTTATTTTTTCACTCTTTGGTAAAGATAGAATGAGGTGAGTGGCATGGAAGAGCTCCAACAACTGTGGTGGGCTTGACCAATAGTAGTCCGACGAATTCTGGTGGTGAGAAGCATGCCAACTAGGTAGTGCTGGGGGCAGTGAGGTTGGTCAATAGTGGGAATGGCTAGCCAGCGAGTGGCAAAACTTAGTGTGGGTTGGTCAACAAGGCGGCGGTTGGTGGGCAATGCTAGCAAAGAGCGGCCAGCTATGAGTTTTGCAGGCTAGGTTGAGGCGTAGTTTTGGTGATGTGCTTCTTGGATTACCGATGACAGAAGACGGTGGTGCGGTTCCGACGAGGGGTGGCAGATGACGACATACTAGCGGTGAGGCGAGCTGGCGGTGTCTGTCAGTAGGTCAACCCAGCAAAGGTGTCTATGTTGATGAGGATGACAATGTTTACAGACCAATGTGGCAGCTGGTGAGTAGGGCCATCAAGGTGTGGCCGATAGCGTGCTCCAGGTGGTGAGGATACAATGAATTGATTGTGATCTAGCAAGGTGAAGGTGGGATGCTCAACAGTTTTCTGGAGAGGTGAGCCACACAGTTCTCAGATGCTAAATTCGTTGGCCTGATTATGATTTAAGTTAACAAGGAAAGGAAGAGCGCGAGTTAGAAGGCAAAAAACCATACTTGGGCCATTGCTTAACGCCGAGCTCCAAGAGTTTAGATTCCGGCGGATTTCTTTCAACTATAATCCCAAGCTTCTCCATGGCCGGGATCTCCCCTCTGATCAACCTCAAGGACAGAGCCGCCGGAAACCTTCTCCTATGGTTCGAAGAGAGAGAAGAAACCGCTCTGACGACAACAGAGGCAGGGCTACGCGAGTGGCCACTTATGATGCAAGGGTTTGCCATTGGAGTCAGAGTGAACCTTCCAGAAGAATATTCGTTAAAATTTTTAATTGTTAATTTGATGAAGAGACTTCCGGTGCAGCGTGCCGGATTATTTTGAGCGAGTATCCGGGGTCCATTCATTCTCTATCTTCGGCATATTTCCCACGGCACCTCTAAAAAATTCATATGGGTCTGATTTTCAATGTTTATTACAATAAATATAAATTTTGGTGGGCCACATTTAAATTTTATTTTTTTTAATTGATGTACGGTGAAGATTAGACATCATATTCATGTATTTCTGTATATGGTGCCGTATGAAATAATTTTTCTCGTCTCGACGCATTGAGGCGCACAACTTTTAAGTAGAGCAAAATGGGGCTTTAAATTTTTATTATCAAATATTTTAAGGTGTCATGAAATACATAGGATATTAATTGGAATTAAAGTGAAATTTTTTAAAAAAAATTAATTTTAAAAGTTCATTTTATCCGAACAAATATTTTGGTATGATTATAATACAAATAAAACATTATTTTGTTCTTATTATTTTATTCACTTCTATTTTTATTGATTAAATTTTTATTTAAAATAACATTAGAACCTTACTAATAATAAAGATTACGAGAGCCAAAAAAACATAGAAAATATAGTGAAATAGTATTAGACGTTAAGTTGTGAGAAACTTTGATATATACTATATTGCTAAAAAAAAATATTAGCAAATGATTAAATGATTTTTCAGTTCATATTCTCGTCATCTACTTGTAGCTTAATTCGAGACATGATACAATATAAAAGATTGTTCAAGTAAAATTATATTACATTGATTGCTATATGTTTTCCATAAATTAGACCTACCTAGTTTGTAACTATGTAATTACGTAGAATACAAGTTGAACCATGTACATAGGGTGAATATGTGTGAAGTCATTAGCAAGTCAAGTGAATGGTGGTAATTGTTGTTGATTCCTTTTAGTCAGTCTCGAAAGAAAGTACACTTGCTTTGATAGTTTTGATAACTTTAGACGTTAGAGAAGTGACTGAACTCGGACTCAACCCACATCAATCAGAGAAATGGATACATATCAACATTCTTTTTATTATTATTATTCAATTTCTAGTTAGAAAAACCAGATCAAAAACCCTAGGCCAGATAGAAACACCTCATGGCAAACCACATTCCAATCTTGGTAAATCTAAGCATGCAACTAGTTAATCAATTCTCTTTATTTTAATGATCATAATAAAATAAATAAATAATATTCTCGATGATCTGCCACATTGATTATAGCTAAACATGTTGATTTAATAATTTGTTATACATTTTAACACTTTAAGCAATATGTAAATGCTTTATTACTTAAGGTATATTTGGTGTAATGTCATTTCACATCTCCTAGGCATGGATAACACTAAGAAATTCTTTTGTAGGGAATTTCTTGTGATGATGTTAAAGAGTTAAAAGTAGTAAGAGATATCCAAACCTACAGATGGGTAATTTTCTTATTATCTATTAAATAAAATAACATAAAAGAAAATTAAGGAGGATGATGAGGGTGAGAAGGGTAAAGTTGCTAAGTCAACTACAATAAATGATCTTTTCTGCGCTACTCTTCCAAAAATGTTTCTAGTCATCACTCTGTCTCGAGTTCATCCTAGATGAAAATGATAGAATCTTGTTGGTGATAGTGTTGTTGAACAATGTCTATTGTTGAATTTTGAGACTGAGCAAGTTTTAAAATTGTCGAAGTTAGCTCAGAGAATGATTTTGCCTCCACTAATGAGGTCAAATTTGAAGGAAACATTTAAGTGCCAATTTGGAGAATTTTAAAAATGTAAAAAAAATAGTTTTCGTCTTCTAGGTTGTTTGGGCTTTTGAAAAATCAAACAAAAAAACATATAGTACTTAGAAAATTACTAGGATTTGCTTTTACGGAAAGTTGAAAGAAGTGATTTGATATTCATGAACATTTTTTATTGTTCATTGCTCAAGCTCCATCAATTTGAAGTTCGACAACCTCTAAGTATCTTCCCATTTAGGGAGCTACCTTGGGAATGTTGGGCTCGCCCAACCTTCTAAAAAGGCACGCATGGATAACTTTTGCAACATTGAAGAGATTTTCTAACCCTTCTGTCTAACATGGATCTTCTATACCTATGTAAAAGAAATAACAAAATTCTCTATATCGTTGAAGCAATGAGAACAAATACTTAATAGTAAGTTTTCACGTCGAGTTGGAATTACTTGAACGGGTACTTATAGAAGATGTTTCTGCCCCATTGGAACAATGAGAATGGGTACATAGTGTGTTCAAGAATTTATACTATATATATATATATATACATATATTCTATTTTTGTCTCTTTTTTGTGTTTTTTCCTATTTTCCTCCTTTTTATTTTATTTTTTCACTCTTTGGTAAAGATAGAATGAGGTGGGTTGCATGGAAGAGCTCCAATAACTGTGGTGGGCTTGACTAATTGTAGTCCGACGAATTCTAGTGGTGAGAAGCATGCCAACTAGGTAGTGTTGGAGGCAGTGAGGTTGGTCAATAGTGGGAATGGCTAGCGAGCGAGTGGCAAAACTTAGTGCGGGTTGGTCAACAAGGCGGTGGTTGGTGGGCAATGCTAACAAAGAGCGGCCAACTATGAGTTTAGTAGGCTAGGTTGAGGCGTAGGTTTGGAGATTTTTTTTCTTGGGATACCGATGATAGAAGATGGTGGTGCGGCTTTGATGAGGTGTGGCAGATGAAGATATGTGATACACCTAAAATATATATACTTTTTATACACATTTTTATACCTATTTTTGAGATATTGTGCTTTAATGAAAGACATTTGTGTGTTTTCTTTCAGGTACAATCAAATGAATGAAAAATGATATAAGGAGTAAAAAATGATAAAATTTGAAGCAAAAATGAACTGAGGCGCTTAGGACTGGCGCCTACACACCAGTTATACAAAGAGGGCAGCGCTTAAGCACCAGGTACCCCGTGCTCAAGGTCCAAAAGTTGTTATTTTATGATTCATTGAATTTAGACAAATTTTTGAAGAGGTGTTTGAAGCAACTCTTAGTAAAAAACTTAGGAAATAACCCATGAACATGAAAATTTGATGGACACGAAAATTTCTTCAATTGGCTTTTGAAAGGAGGCAACTTTTAGAAGATTCATTGAATGATGACACATTTTGAAGAAACACCAAGATACCCTTTGGATTTTTATTAAAGAAGACTTGGATCATCAAGAGAAGAGAGCCAACAGCCATCATCCATCCAAATAATCGCAGCTGCCGCCACCGACCACTTTTATTTTATTTTAAGTTTTAGTTTGTATTTTGAGTGAAGGAAGAGAATTCAAAAGAATGTTTAAATTAGAAATTATAAATAAACTAGGAAATTCACAGAAATCAAATGGAATTACTGTCACTATTTTAAATGTTTATGATTCTAATAAAACTAAATTATTAACTACTAGCAAAACTTAAATGCAGAGTTTTAAACAGTAACTACTAAACTATGTTTATATGGTGAAGTTTTCTTATATGAAAAAGCATCTTTCCCATTACAATGAGCTTTTTGGTGAAATGAGATGAGATAAATTGTTTAAATTTGTAGTGTGCCAAATAGGAGCAATTTTAATTCTCTACCCTGATTCAGTGTTATAGAAAATCACTGACTAATCTTAAGTTTAATCTCTAAATCTATGGCTAGGCTAGGAGGATACTGACTCCCACTTCAGAGCTCCCACTTCCCTTCCCCTGAAGGCTAACTTTCGCTTTAGTTTTTAAAGAAATACTCCTTCATGGACTTAAATGTGATTCTCACTCTGTTGTAGAACTCATACTCCATTTCCCGGATCATATGTTTCACAATATATTTTAACAATTCAATTGGACAGATCAAAAAGTAAATTAAGAGCGGAGTTGAAAAAATCATCACAATTTATTTTAAATTTTAACATTGACACATCCAAATTATCTCTTAATTTCACCATATCTCAGAGTTAGGAGAAAGATAAATGAATCTACTCATACTTCATGAGAAAGATACAACAAAACACAAATTTCATATATAAAAGAAAGTTCATACAACAATAATAAGAAAACAACACTTATCTGAAACTCTTTCTCAAACAAATCCCTTGTAGCCTCTCTTAGGAAATGTAGGAAGAAAAAATCTCTCACTTCTCTTCCTCTCCAACACTTCTTAAAGAAGTATTCACACTTAAACTCACCACAAAAACTCAAACTATAAAGATAATAACTAACTAATGGTGTGGAATGACGTGGAATGTTGGCGTGTGAAGATTAAAAACTGAAATGAGTGGAAAAACTCAAAATGGTGTGAGGGGGGTTTCTGATCAAATTTCTGATCAAATTTCAGGGGTTTCTGATCAAATTTCAGCCCTAAATAGAGCCTAGATTGGTTCTCCAATAGGTGCCTCCAAAAACTCTTCAAAAAACATCCAAATTTGTCGAATCTTCTAGAAACAGGGTCTGCACCGGGATTGGCGCCGTTGGCGCCAGAGGCCATTTAATTTACTCTGCCTTCTCTGTCAAACAGTGCCGTCAGTGCCCATTCTGGCGCAGTCGGCGCTGAACAAATTTTCAATTTGTCTATTTTGACTCCAAATTTTATCATTTTTTCTTCTTTTTTGGTCCAAGTCCTAAAAATTCACAACCTGCAATAAAACACAAAAAATATCTTCCATTAAAGTGCAATATCACAAAAAATGAGTATAAAATATGAGTCTAAAAATGCATATATTTTTGGTGTATTAAAATTCTCCAAACTTAAATGTTACTTGTCCTCAAGTAATTATTTTACTACATAAAAATATGACTTATGGTAAAGATTTTAACTTTTAGATTTTAATATCTTAGTTCACTAAATATAATAGCATCACTTGAGAAAAATTCAAAATAACTCTAGTTAATACTAAAGGTATAAGAATATCTAGCAGTCAAGTCCAAGATTTTTGATTCTCCATTCTTTTAAGGAAAATTATAAATTATTCATATCAAAGCCACTGAGAGTATCCATATGAAAAAGAACTTCATGAAACTTTACTAATAAATATGCTAATACTGAAATA